CGTCCACCACCGACGGGTTTCGAACACTAGTGCCTCCCAATCAGAGGCACTGTGGAGACTGATGCCCTAAGCCGGGCCCAACTTTTAAACCCCGTCTGACTTCCTTTACCGGAGGTTGAAGACTTCTATGAAAACCTTCTTATCAACACATATACACATTTTGTTTTGCTTTATCATATTCTCAGCATCACCCACCCCTTAAAAAAGGTACATATGCAGAATTCAATAATCTGCCTGAGATCCACCATTTGGTATTTCAAGCATCGTGTGAGAACGACTGTTGGGAAGATTAACTTCTCATCGGTCGTGTTCGCGACAATTAGTTATTGTTAAAATCTTTATTTTGCTAAGATTTGGTAGGAAAATAGTTTAGTGATTCTTTTTGCAGATGTCTCGTTCGTCTTTCAGGTGAAGAAAGTGCCCATTTTTATCTCTCCCATCTCTTATCTGTCTTTATCTCTCTCTGTCTCCCTCTCTCTCTCCCTCTCTCTGTCTCCCTCTCCCTCGCTCTGTTTCCCTCTCCCTCGCTCTCTGTGTCCCTCTCTCCCTCTCTGTCCTCTCTCTTTCTCTCTCTTTCTCTTTCTTTCTGTCTCTTTCTCTCTCTTTCTCTCTCTGTCTCTCTCTGTCTCTCTCTCTGTCTCTCTGTCTCTCTCTCTTTCTCTCTCTGTCTCTCTGTTTCTATCTGTCTGTCTGTCTCTCTCTCTCTGGCTCTCTGGCTCTCTCTGTCTCTTTTTCTGTATCTTTCTCTGTACCTCTGGCTCTCTCTGTCCCCCTCTATCCATCTCTCTTCTCTCTCTTTCTCTTCCATTCTCTCTTCCTCTCCCTCTCCCTCTTGCTCTCATAATTTCCCATTTCAAAACGTATGGGTTCATAATTGTAATTAGTAAGTGTGGGTTCTAAAAATGTTGGAACTATTGGGTCCTGTAAAATATAATTTGTTGGTTACAAGCGTGTCTCTTCCCTTTGACCTTTCGATTTTTAGTTTTGACTTCGCAAACATTCGGTTTGCACATTGCTAGCAACTGTATACCAGGCATATTTTCGTAGTTGTTTCTCTTTTTTTCTACGTCAAAATGTGCCAAGAAAAATAAGGCTGAATCGAAACATGACGTTACTCGTCAGAACCTTGACGCCTTGAGCAGTTTATCCCGCGTCATGCCGGTCTTACAAATCGAGATCCTGTTTGAATCTCTACTGGAGTGGGGATACTGTTGGCACATTGCTCTTTCATTTAATTTAAATTTGGCGTCTTAACAGGTATAAGCTCGTGAAGAGTTAGAATCTCTTCTTGACACAATTCCAGTCCAATCTCGTGCATGTTCAAGCACCGCACCTTGATGATTTTCATAAAATAAACGCGCTCCTCTATGCAAAAAAATCTAATAGATAGCAGTCTCTAGAAGTGTATCTATATGTATGAATGTCTGCATAAGTGTGTTGAGGCTGCGAAATATTCGTTAGATGCGTTGGGACAGCAATTAACAGAAACTGCGAGTAATGTGGATAAATTTTTATCAGACAAGAGTGATCTGGAAAAGAAACCACACACAATTGACAAAGATTCTTACTTTGGAGAAAGAATCAAGATATTGTCATGATTACCTCTGTCTAGACGAAATCGAATCTTTCGTTACGAATTTCGTCATTTTTCCTTATATTAGACTGCAGATATGTTGCCTGACACACTCTGAAACGAATCTTGAATGCGTCCATCACGTTTTTACTGAGCTTTCTGCACGCCGCTTGTGATGACAATGCGATCTCGTGGCGTCTAAAATGGAAATGACTTTAATCCAAGAATTTCGACTATGTTCACACATGTTTTCTCACGAAGAGCTGCCCAGAAGCTGATGCGATCTTTCGGGTGACGCTCCGAACTAACAGGCAGCAGTTGACAATCTACGTCAAGGAACTTTGCACGAAAGAAGTGAGTATTTGGTCAATTGGGAAGAAATTTGAGCGTTATTTTTATTAAATTAGAACGAGTCTTGAACGCGTGAAGTTTGAAGTGTATGATCTTTTCCTCTGAAATGCTTTCAAGGGGCATTAAAACTACATTATTCGAAACGAGGCGCCAAATTTGAAACAATTTGATGGTCAATGTGCCAACAAAGTGCATGATAGACGCCACAATTTCAAAGAATTCGAAGAATTCTCGAGAAGAGGCCAGTTGCAATTTTTTGAAACGTGAGCCAATAGTAGTAGTTGGTCGCTATATTGTTTCTGCATAGGGCAAAGAGTACTTTTCGCGTGGTCAAGAGATGTTAGTCGTCATTCAAAACGAAGAGCGATTGACAATCTTCGCCGGACACGTAATATATGTCTTTGAATGCTAAGAATAATGGGACACGCGTAACAATTGTAGACACCAGCTGACGATGTCACGCGGAGAGTTAATAAAAATACGTGAATATAACGCCAAAATAGGGAACAAATAATGTAGTGCTATATTTAGTGTTTGCAAACATTATAACACTTGCATATGCTAACAACATAATTGTTATATTTCAGAAACCGAAGTCCATAACTAACACCAGACGTAGGATTCATATTCATCTGGTACCAGTATCAACAGCTCAGTACAAAAATCACACTCAATACTTAAACATTATTTTATAACTCATTTCTAGATGTCATTAAATAATTAACTTCTATACACCAGTTTAAGTGTCATGTAACATCTTTTCAGCTGCGTAACTGGTTCTATAAAATTAAAAACTATACTGAGCATCAAAAAGAAAAGTAATATTAATTTTAACAATGCTATTTAATGTATAAATTACCATATTTACTGTTTAATTCTTAATAACCTGTAATCATTATTGTACTTCAACATTTGGGTCAATGACCCCATCTCGGTCAATTTTTTCGTCTAGTTTTCCTGATCCCTTGAGTGAATGCTGAGATGGCCTCTTGTTTTACTTCTGAGAATAAATGTAACTTTAGTACCTGTTTAATTCTTCTAGAGTTCTGTGGGAAATATAATTATTCAAATTATCGTTCTTTATGTTCTCACGGCAAGGAATCGATTCCTTTGCAAAGAGCATGATGAGAGATAATATCTCTAATCTGTAGCTGATTTGTCTTTGCAAGAAGTTTATTAAACTGGAATGAATTTTTCTTGTCGATTCTTGCCAAAAGTGATCATTTCTGTCTTTCTTCAGAATTCGACTTGCAATGCTTTTGGGAAGGGATCCCATAATTTAAGAAAATGTACACAGTATACACTTTTCTTCATAATACGTCACACATAGTTTTTAACTGCTTTTGACGTTAAATAAATAAACAGAATCACTTGTCACTGTTTGATACTACAGTCAATATTACAAATTTCATCTTTACTCTCCCCCCCAAAAAATGTTAATGACATTTTGAAGCCTTAGCATACGCGGTTAATTCTCTCCATCAACATGTCACGTTATTACTCTATTAATAACATAATCATTATGAGAATTCAAGATCCTTTTATAACTCAGCTTTCAGTTTTCGTAACTGCGTATTTTTTAGATTAACCAATTGAAAGAAACACAATTTAGGTAAATTTCATTTAAAACTGGGTACTGAAGATAGTATATTTAGTACGTGAACTAGTACATTTCAAATAGTACATTTTGCTGTTAAAATTCCTTGTCATAAGAGTAAGTTTTGGTTTCAATAACTTGAGCAGTCGACAGAAATAATTTGAATGCCTAGTGTTACTTTCCCGTGATGATGTCAATTTAGTGTAATAGATACACAAATAAAAGAGATCAGTGTTGTAAATTGAGATTTCCACAATTCTGCCTTGTTAACACATATTTACAAGGTATCAAAAAACTGAGATGCAGCAGCTGCAAAGGGTTCTCGTTCTTGTCTCTGAGTGTGAGTTGCATTATAAGAAGAAACTATAAAACTGCAGAAAAATCATCGTAAATATTAAACTGACAATATGATAGTTAAGTACCGTATAGGGCGTGAACTGATTGGTGTTGATCTTATTGAATTTCTTCAACAAAGTATTATTTTAGTTTAAATGCGGCATGTCGTGGAATGAAACTGTCGTGAAGTGAACAACGTCTCTGAGAAGTCTCACGAATGTGTTTTGTAATTTATCGAATGAGACAACTGTGTACGGGTATATTACTTTTCAATCCTCAGAGTTCAACCCTATTAAAGATCACCAATCCACTTCTAATACGAAGACTACATATGTCTGAGCGACCTTTACTGAAATGTTCTCATCGAAGGAGCAAGCAATATTTACTGAATTTCAAGGGGATCTAACCATCATAAACTAAATAAATAAGAAACATAAGAAATTCGTTTAAACAAAAGTAACATACATGGATTTATAAAAAAATACATACGTTATATTATCTAAAAATACAATAATTGCAAATAAACATTTTTAACTTGCTTGAAACAAAAATATTCTCTTTGCAATCTCAATAAAAGTACAAATAACCCCTTGTGCATTGCAAGAACACATTCAGAAATTAATTATATTCAGAATATAATTTGTTGCTTGATTAACTGATTATTTAGTTTCCAGACGTCTCTACTGCTATAATTAGTCTCGTAAGTGAAATGAATGATAAATCCTGGTAGGTCACCGTGTTCCTTTCCTATGCTCGGAGAGTGAGATTTGGCGCTAACCTACCCACCACCGACATGTAGAGATTTGCTCCCTGCAGTTATCTCAGCAAACGAGGTCTTCTCGAACTGCACAACTGGTCACCCAACATGTGTGGTAGTGTAGTGAATATTAGTGTTTTGGGTGTAGGTAAGGGGAGAGGGACACAAAGGGAACGAAGGAAAGATTCCTGAATTCAACTGGAATTGATCTAAGAAACTGCGGAAAACGACCGAAGGGAACAGCCGACCATCAGAGACCTCCAGACTGCAAACTTCTGAATTGTATCTAGTTAGGTACCTTAATGGAAAAATCCTCCACCATCGGGACTTGGGAAAGAAATGAAATAGAAAATATGACAGATGGTGAGAAAGAATCAGAAATATTGTGAGTTTCACAAGTAACAATATATTGTAAGGTAAAGTATTTTATTATGTAAACACAATATAACGGGGTTCAAAAATTATTAAATTTTCAATATATATAAGTTACACACAGCTTTTATACTTAAATAATATACTCATGATTAAATCCAATCCTTTGCAAAAAGTTTGAATTGTTTTTTCTGTCTAAAATGGTTCTCCAACGCAACTCAAGATAATTTCGTGAATCTGTAAACAAAGAAGAGAAAGTAATGAATTTACTGTCACTGCACGCACGTGCACACAAGGATAAACTTCGTGGACAAAACCATTTTACATATCATATTTATTTGGTTTTCAATAAATGTTGAAATGTTTGTTTTAATTTTTAATTATTTCAGCTTTTACCTAATACAATACAATTATCTGGCAATATCATAAAATGTTTGCCGCTCGGTAATTATTCATGATATTTTTCATATATGTATCATTAGGCTAACTTTTCTCATTTTCCCCAAACAATTTTTCAGATGCAATAGAAGAATTCTCCCAACATATGAGCCCCTATTATCTCCGTAAGAAATGTTTTGAAAAATGGATTTTCCTTAGGATAAATATCATTATACATAGCAGAAATCTTTTCCATCTAGCATTGTGCTTCATTACAAAAATATTCGAGACAAAACTGTTTACGATTTTATGAAATTTTAGATACGTTGTTGGTCGTAAATTATCACATATGACAGTCTCTGAAAATGTGCTTAATGCAATTAAAAATAACAATAAAAATAAATATACATAATAATAACAATAATAATTGTAATAATAATAACATTGTTGTTTTAATATAACTAACTTGTACCAGAACTCTAAATTTTACAAGCAATTAACTTTCAATTTCAAGAAGTCCATTGCAACCAATGATACCGCAATACATCGCAAAGTATTTATTTACGTAATTAGTACATGAAGTGAGACTTCCGCTTACGAATGAAATCCTACATTTGGAAATAGATGCGGGAGAATGACACTTTTATTCGAGATGTCAATATTATTTTGCTTTCTCTCCCCCACTTCGTAAGTAGAGAAAGTACGTATTGTAATCGTTTGCCGAAAAAGGCGAACTTTCTACATAAAAAGACTTATTGCCGGACCCTGGAAACGAAATTAGATAAATCTTGTTCCTGAATGAATGGGTGAAAACCAGCACGGTGTAAGTGACATTTTAAAAATTCTGAGAAAAAACATGATTATTTTAGAAGAAACGTCAGTGGCAATGTATTTGTGGTCTTAATGAACAATTGAAATTCCATGGTTTTAAGGATGAAACAAAACACAAAACACCACGACTTTACAGTGATATTGTGTTAAATAAACAGATTTCTCAAAATTTCTAAAATGTCGCTTCGTTCTGCAGTCAGAATCCATGTTTTATGGGTTTTTGATACCGAGAAATTGATTGTCGGCGTCTGTATGTCTGGACGTTTGGCTATCCGTCTTGTCTGGCCGTCTGTCTGATCTATCAAGGTTCGCTTAAAAGAATGGTGTATGAGTAATTGTCGTTGAACTCGCTGAATTTTCGAAAGTTGAAAAATTAGAAATAACGCGAGGAATTATGTGATATTGTAAGTTTTAGTGGAATGCGTGGAAACTATTAAGTATATACTCTTGGGATAGTTTTCAACACGGAATTTATCTGGCTGATGTCACGACACTTGAATTTGAAACCGATATTCTAATTTGGGGGGGTACTTTACATGAAGCCCCTGGGACCTTATCAAAATTTTCAAAATCATGGCTCCATTGTTTCTTATTTAATTTTAGTGTTGGACAGTGCGAAGGACGTGAACATACGGAAGAGAAAGTGCGTGCTGTTTTATCACCACTAGTTTAAAAGAATTATGGTGACCACTTTCTCTATTTTGATTGGTAGTCTGTAGCAGTACCTGCACGTGAGGGGGCGTAGCCACTGCATATGCGACCGCATCTGCGACATCTTCGGCCTTAAGGTGCGGCATCGTCCAGAAGTCGGAAATGTCTTTTCCCAGAGACGCTGCCATTCCCTCTTTAACTGACGGCAGGTTGTCGATGATTTCGGTTTGCACTGCTCCTGGGCTAACCTCCTGCAATAAGAAATCAGCAATTGATGAGCAGTGTAACGCATAAACGCAATCGATACCTTCAAGTTCATTTCTCGTGGTTCTAACAATAACAAAAATCAGCAAAAGATGCATTCAACATTATGTTGTGAAGCCAGTCCTCATCCCACTCACCCACCTAGCTGTGACAGACCTATTCTCCTCGCTCATATCTTAAAAAATGCTCGTTATGAATTAATTATTTCTTTAAAATTTATTGATTATAAATGCAGGTTTTTAATCATAGAAATACTGGATTTTTTTTAATTTTAAGAATAATGTATATTACAACTATTGTATTATCGTTGAACTTAGTGATGAACTGATTGATAATTTTAAAGTTTAGAGTTTATTGAATCAATATTCTTCCCTGAGTTGTTTAGAGAACTTGCTCTGCGAGTTTTTTTATTCTTCACCGGTGAAAATATATTATTGGATAACAGCATGGATACTGTTAGAGAACCTCAAGAAATTTGTGGCGGAAGTAAAGATCACATGTTATTTCGAAACTTTTTATGAATTGTAACGAAAGGAGAAGAAGATTCTATTGGAGCAAGACAATCAGTGTATTCATTATTTTAAACTCTTCTTCTGAAGAATAAAGTTCACGATTTTATTTTTTTTTTTACTTTGCAATGTTACTAAATTGCTTCGGGATTCAGTTGAACTGAAATCAATGCCGATTGGCTAAAATGTAGTAAATGCACCTTTTGGGTCCTTTTTTAAATTACTCACCGTCACACGAATTCGACTTTTGGCCGCCACAAGTTCCTTACGCAGACCTTCCGTCAACACACGTACTCCATGCTTCGTGGAGGCGTAAATGTGTACACCAGGCAAATCAAAATATCCGTGACCTACTCGGCTGAAAAATAAATTAAAAGGAAATATTTATATATTTGGTTTATATATATTTGTTTTATAAGTTTGTTACAAAAATAGAATTTGAAAAAATACTGGTATATGTTTTTATATTTTCTCTAGAATTGTTAAACGGGACAATATCTGCACCTTGAAGCGAATACAATTGTTTTACTACATTTATTTATTATTTATAATTTTGTTCTATTGGCAAAACTAGTAATATATGATACTCAATAAATTTTACAGGATAAAAATGTTTAAACATATGCTACCTATAATACTATAGTATTTCTTTAAAGTTTTCAAAACCGAAAAAAAGGTTGTAGATGTTTTATTAGATAAATAGTAAATATCATAGTTGGAGGAACCTGGCACAAACAAAAATAATTTGATTTTTGCCTTTTTGCCTTCATGCAAAATATCAAAAGCAAGTAAAAGAAAAAAAGTTTGTCAAAGACAACTAAAGGCATAAAAGACATAAAATTACTTCCTGTTAAAAGATTTAAAATTATAAAAATCATCAATTTTTTCTACGCGATAACTATATCCTCACTCTTAATAGACTACTGAACAAGGAACGCCCTTCAACGCTGCCACTAAAACTGATGTCGAAAAATATGTGGGAAAACAATAAATGAGTGTATACTTTGGACTTTGCAAATCGACAACTTTGCTTAGTTGCACATCTCCCCGCCTGCAATAAAGTATGAAAAGCTGCCCCGGTGACATTCATTGAATGTGGTTTGTCTGTACGTGTTTTCCAGGCATGCTACGAAACTTGGTGTGCCAATGATTATTGGCTGTTTTTTAACTGGTTGCATCTTTAGTTACGTTTTATTTAATTTCGAGAATTATCTCGTCAATTATATCATCAATAACTGCAAGATCATTGACAGTCCTAATTTTATTTTCATTTTTTTTTCAAGGAACATGCATATATATATTTTGTTGTATTCCAGCATTATAAAAGAACCTTTTCTGTTGCAAGAAATCGTTCATAATCGGGCATTTTACGGCACAAATGATGACGTATTAGATTTTATAACACGAATAATTACGTCATCACACATTCAGCCAATCATAGAGAGAGTATCGGAGGGAGGTCGAGCTAAACGGAACAGCCAACCACCGTTTGATCGCAAGATGTCAAATACCCGAGTAGTCACAGAGAACTTGTTTCGCAAAATTAAGTTTTATTCCCTTATAAATGTATAATGCTGTTATTCAAAAAATATAGTATGCAACTCGTTTATAATGCTGCTTTATTACATTCGTACAAATTTGCAAACTCGCTTCTAAAGTCGCTCGTTTTCAAAACATGTACTTGTGGTGTAGGTCGATTGCAGAATACTGTTACACACATTAGAAGTGATAAATAAAGATAAAATGGAATTCAAAGATTATAATATAGATACGTAGACGAAAACTCTTCAGTGGTACGTTTGTGACATTCTGCTGTGAATGCCATAATTTGTAGAGCTAAACAATTTATTTATAATGGATATCTTCAGAAGACGACGGAGCAGACCATGCACTCAAATGAATCATAGAATATCTGATTGCGAGGCACTAGATATCTGACAGTAGGTAAGATTTATGTTTATGAGAATGGCTGGAAAGAGGAACGTTAGATAAACTTGTCAGATTAAATCACTGGATGTAATACTATAAATTTCTGTCTGTTCGCTATTGTATGGAAGTAAAAAGTTTTTTCTTACGATATATTAAAATTAAAAAGCAATTATAAAGAAATCTATATACATCATAATATTAACCAAGATTTTTACCTTCACACAGTTATGTTGATATGCGAGACCCGATTCGTTTATCTTTGTATTAGGCGTAATAACTTTCCTTAATAATAGCTATTCTCATTAATATTGCTTAATATTCAGCTATATTCAGAGACTATTTTCTATGAACGAAAAATGTAGATAATATAAATCTATTTTATGTTTTAAATGATTTGCACCGTTTTAAAATGACTGTTGTTTAATGACTATGTTAAATGACTTTGTTTTAAATGACTTTATTTAAATGACTGCAATGTTTTAAATGAGTGGCATGTTATAAATTACTTAGTTTTAAATGACTACGTTAAATGTACTTATGGCTTCAGATTAAATTTTACAAACTCCTGGCATGTAAGGAGGTTGATGTGAGCACATAATCACATTTTTCGAATGACTCATATGGTGATAAATCTCTTATCAATAACGTAATTACTTCTCCAACAATTTTTGAACATCGCATCCTAGCCTCCGATAGGTGATTAGAGTGTTTGCCATTACACTTTCGATCCAAGATATTGGCGTACAACCAACAGAAACATTACCTCAACTGCAATTATAATTTAAGCATCTTATGCGTCATTTTCACCATGTATTTGGTAAAAGAGATCCTCCCTGCTAATACGCCTAGAACTGATTAATATTTTGAGATACTTTATCTGTATGCTACTGATACGTACTGCTTGAAGTTCGTTAATGAAAATGATTTGATCAGATTCGCAACAGAGTCTCATTGTCCCTTCTATATAATTTGTTCTAGACGTGTAGCATTTGAGTGTTAAAGCATTAGTAAATATACTACTATTATTATTATTCCTTGTACGTATGTACATATTATGGCATTATTGCAAATAAGGCAATTAAGTTTTTTTGATGTTTTCTGTTGACCTTTTTTGCAGCCAATTAACTGCATATGATGACGGAATTTATTGGTATTAAAGCGTATTAAACATGGTGACGATGTGTTGTAGCATGTTGACACAATAAACGCGAAAATGTCGCTATTATACCGAGTATATAGTAATTTATTAAATAAGGACATTGTGGTCATTTATTAGCTGTCTCGTAAGTCATATGCATCACATTTTTTGCTAACTGCAAATTATGAACACAAGAAATTAAAGCCGCATGTACTGCGAGTCTTTACACTGCCTTTGTCAACCTTGCAATTTCACTTCGACATGGGCGGAAGTGCACCATGCTCTCAGGGGGAGGAGATTCACTGATGTTAGTCAGCTGTAACCAGACTCGAACAAAGTTCTACACAGTCGCTAACACACCCCCCCGCCCCCCCCACCGCGTCTCGACAGATCGCGAGTTAGTAGTTCGAACTCCCTTCGCCCAGATGTTCTCTGATCTTTTTGCAAACTTAAACAATATTAAATAGATCTGAGATCGTTTATTAGTTTTCTTGTAAGTCTACAAACGCGATTTCTACATTATACTCGATTTAATATTTGTCAAAGGATATGAAAAAGTGCATGTATTCGAAATGATTCACGCTTGGAATGAATCTTGCTTTTGTGAAAGTTGAGTATTACGTTTC